CGGCGCCACCGGCCACCGGGGCCGCTGCCACTGCTGAGTCCGCTGGTGCTGCTGGCGCTGCTGGTCGTGGGCCAGGCCATCGCCATGGACCATGCCTTCCTCCACGCCGTTCCCGCCTTCGACCCGGTGCTGGACGGGTGGCTGGACTTCACCACCCCCCATGGGCAACCGTCGACGGCATACACCCGGCCAACACAAGACCTCATCCGCACCTTCAGGCAGGTCAATTCCCTGGGCCCGAGCATGGAACATCGCCAGGGGCCCTTCTTCTCCGGTGTCTCGACGGACCTGGTCCGCAAGAACCCCAGCTTCGACGGGGGGTTCAAGCTCCGCCCTCTCGATGTCCTGCGGCCGGATCCTCCCCTCCTCGAGCAGCCGCCCTTCCTGATGGATACCAATTCCAAAATGGGCTTCTTCACCGGGGAAGCAACCTTCTCCCTCCCCGGCGAGGGCGTCGCCATCGTGGCCGGCAGCTGCCTGTCCCTGGATGAGTGTGTCGTGTTCGGCCTCACGCATGTCGATCAACACTACAGCCCCTTCATGGCGCGCGTGGGGCAGCTCGCCTCCGAACCATTGGACACCCACGGATTGGGCTTGTCCGATCCGGTGCATGTCGTCGCCGGGCCCATGCAATCCTTCCACATCGCATCCCAAGGCATTGTCAGCCAGGTGGCGGCCCATTCGCCAGGCGAGTTGCTCGGCGTGCCGCAGAAGTACGGCGACGTCCGGGCGGTCCGGCTGTTGGCCACGCGCATGTACTCCCGCACCCGCGATTGCCCCTCTTCCTCGGACTTGGTGCTGCTGCTGGAGGACGGCCAAATCCTCGTCTGGCTGTGCGAGTGGTCCAGCGCCGGGGCCGAGCGGCCCCCGATGAAGGCCCCCCTGCCGGAGGGTGTGTCGGCCATCAGCGCCCGCCTGCTCAATCCCCCTGTCACGGCGTTCGCCCCGGATGACCAGCCCCTGCCCTATCTCCTGCTGTGGGACACCCTTTCGCGAGACTGGCGGAAGGCCCTCTGGCGGGGGGTCCCCTCCGAAAGCGATCCCATCGCCTGGACCCGGGTCATCCTGCCTGTCGCGGTGACATTCCCCCTGGACTTGCATCTGATTCGGCTCAGGGCCGCCGCCGCCACATCGCCGGACGGGCTGTGGGCCTTGACCGACGGCGCGGTGGCCCTCTTTCCATCGAAGGACTTCCTCTGCGGATTGGACCGCTCCATCCGCTGCGCCGAGCACCTCGACGATGCCGACTCGCTTGTGAACGGGTGGACATGCGCCCCGGGCCACACCGAGTCGCCCTTCATCGCCTCGGAGCACCTGTGTGCCGGCTGTTCCGACGGTTTCTACCTCGACCGCCAGCCTGGTACGTGCATTTGTGTAGGTTTTTTTTTTTCATTTTTTATTCCGGCTCCGGCTCCGGCTCCGGCTCCGGCTCCGGCTCCGCTTCTGTCCCCGAGACCACCCCCAGCCCCGAGACCACCCCCAGCCCCGAGGCCAATTCCGCAGGCCTTGTCACTCACCAAAAACGAACCTTTCCCCGGGTCCCCCCCCGTCCCTTCTTGGCCCCGCGCTCGCCTGCCGCCCTCTTTTACACAGACGAGCCGCCGATGTCTCAAGAATCGCACGTGTGCCGTGAGTGCCCCCAGAAAAACTGCCTGACATGCAACCCGGAGCACTGCCTCGTGTGTGACCGGGGCTTCGTCATGCAGTTCGGCCGCGAGGGCGAGGGAAACGCGTGCGTCGAAAAATGCCCCGACGGGTCGGGCCTCTACGGCGGAGCCTGCTACCCCTGGGGTACGCCGTTCCCGAAGCTGGAGGATTCCCCCCTGCGCGTGCTCCCCCGGGTTGACCAGCTGCCGTCGGAGCAGTTGACGGCCATCGTGCCCACGCGGCTGACCTTCGACCGGGACTCCGCCTCGCCGATCCTGTCGATGAGCCAGCCCGACCCCCCGCAGCATGTGCTCCTCTTCGACACCAAGCATGACACATACATCGTGCACCGGAGCGAGCTCGGGCTCGAGGACGCGCCGTCCCTGATGCTCGTGCATTTGTTGAGCAAGGACCTCCCGGGGCCGGTGGTTGCCTCGGCCGAGGTGGGCCCCTTCTTCCATGATGGGGAGCTGGTCATGGGGCTGGTGCTGCTCACGCAGCTGGGCGAGCCCGTCCAGGTGTGGCTGTCCTGTGTCCCCCACGCGGAGGGGCCCTGCATGGCGACCTTCTCGGAGGTGAGCAGCCTGGAGGGCGCCTTCCTGGAGGTCCAGCGCCTGGATGACCGTCGGATTTTCCTGACAGCCGCCCACGGCATGGCGGTCATCCTGGATGCCAGCCCGGCCGCGCGGCACTTCGGCCGGGTGCCCCTCCCGGCGCCGGCCTTCGGGGCGGTGGCCCTGCCCGGGCGCGAGGCCGGCCGGTCGTACCTGCCGGGCGACCTCGGGTCCTGGCTGGTGACCACGCGCCCGAATGCCCCGGCATCGGCCCAGCCCTGGGGGCTGGTGGCCAATCAGGACCCCCGGCTCGGGGCCCTGGAGGGGGCCTTCCTGGCCTCGGTGCCGGCCATGTCGGAGGCGCCCTTCCTGCCGGTGCTCCTGCCTCGCGGGCAGGGCGCCCCGCCGGAGCTGGTCTTCTGCCCGCTGGCGCACGGCACATGGGAGGTGTACCATGTGCCGGGGGACATGCTGCCGGCCGGCCGGTCGACCGGCCTGCCGGGGGCGTGGCAGCGCCTGGGCCGCCTGCCGCGCGACCTGCCGGCCCCCTCCCCGGCCATGACGCACGTCCGCTACCAGGCCATCCCCCTGGACACCGGGGACCCGATGTACCCGAGTGCCTTGGTGATCCTGTCGCGCACCTTCCTCGGGGTGTCCCTGCTCCGGTGCTCGGCGGCCAAGGAGCCCCATCACGCGGCCTGTCGGCTGACCGAGGCCACCTTCTTCAGCCTGGACCCGGTCGGCCTGGAGGAGAAGGCCCCCTTCTGGGGGTCGGTCGTGGCGCGCGAGCCGCCCGGCTCGTCGGCGTCCTCGGCCCCCGGCGGCCCTGTCCCCCGGTTGCCCGGGCTCCGGAGGGACTTGCTCTTTGTGTCGCCCGGCCGGGGCCTGGTCAGCGTGGACCTGGTGATCCGGTGCCCCGAGGGGACCTTCGGCCTGGACTGCCAGATGTGCCATCCCCTGTGCCGGGAGTGCTCCGGCCCGACGGCCGGCGACTGCCTGTCGTGCCGGGTCCACCTGCCGGCCGCGCCGAGCGTCTGCCTGGCCCAATGCCCCTGGGGCCTGGTCCTGGACCCGGCATCCGGCGCGTGCCGTTGCCACGGCAGCTGCCTGCGCTGCGACGAAAGCCCCCCCGGCAGCCAGACGTATGCCTGCTCCCAGTGCTCGAGCGCCTTTGCCCCCGACCCCCGGGGCGTGGACCCGAGCCGGTGCCTTGCGTGCGACCCCTCCTGCGCCGAGTGCGCGGTCCCCGCCGACCCGAGCGCCTGCACCCAGTGCCCCGGCACCGGGTGGCTGCTGGGCGGCGCGTGCGTGGCCGCCTGCCCGGTCGGCACCTGGGCCGATGACCTCACGCGCACGTGCCGCCCCTGCCCGGCCCGCTGCGAGGCGTGCTCCTCGGCCGGCGGCGCCTGCACGGCCTGCATCGCGCGGCATTATCTCGGCCAGGACGGCTTGTGCCGCGCGTGCGACAGCTCGTGCCATGTGTGTGCCGAGCGGCTGTCCTGCGAGGTGTGCCGGCCGGGGCTGGTGTTCCTGTCGGCCGAAAGCGCCACCCCCTCGCTGTGCGGCAGCACCTGCGCCCCGGGCGAGTATGTCGGGGCTGGCCGGTGCGCCGCGTGCGATGGGTCGTGTGAGCTGTGCGCCGGCGGGCCGGACCGGTGCCAGGTGTGTGCGGCGGGCTTCCGCTGGGGCGTGGTCCCGGGCCCCGGCGGCACTAGTACATGCGTCGCCTGTGAGCCTGGGTGCGCCTCTTGCACGAGCGCCGCCTGCCATGCCTGCCTGCCGGGCCTTGTCCTGGACTCGAGCAACGCGTGCGTGGCCGCCTGCCCGGCCGGGTCGTTCAGCAACGGCGAGTCGTGCCAGCCGTGCGACGTGTCTTGTGTCGCCTGCGCCGGTGGCATGGGCAACCAGTGCACGGGCTGTGCCGCCGGGCTGGAGCTTGTCGAAGTGACCCCCGGTATTGGCACCTGCGAGTCCGGCTGCCCGGAGGGCCAGTATCGTGCAGGTGTTGACTGCCTGCCCTGCGACGCGGCCTGCGCCACGTGCAACGGCCCCACGGACAAGGACTGCTGGCGGTGTGCCTCCGGCGTGCTGCAGGGGGGCGACTGCGTGCAGGACTGCGCGGCCAGGCATGTGGCCGTGGGCGACCGGTGCCTGCCGTGCCATGTCTCCTGCGCCGAGTGCGCCGGGGTCCGGTCGACCGAGTGCCTGCCGGCCTGCCCTGGGGGACTGCTGGCCCTGCCGGCCGGGCAGTCGCCCACGCGCTGCGTGCCGGCCTGCCCAGTGGGGTACCACACCTCAATGGGCGGCTGCCGCCAGTGCACGGAGCACTGCGCCAGCTGCCCGGAGTCGAACGACACGTGCGCCCTGTGCGACCGGGGCTGGCTGCTGGCCAGCCCGGACTGCCTGGCCGAGTGCCCGGCCGGGTCGGTAGCCCAGGGCGGGCTGTGCGCCACCTGCCACGCGTCCTGCGCCACATGCTACGGCCCTGACCCGGAAAACTGCTTGACGTGTGCCCCATCCAAGCCGTTGGGCATGGATGGCGCCTGCTTTGACGCCTGTCCGCCGGGGACCTTCCAGTCGGGCGAGGCGTGCATGGCCTGCAACCCGGCGTGCGCGGCCTGCTCCGGGCCGGCGGCCACCGAGTGCACCTCCTGCCCGGGCAGCCGGCCGCTGATGGACGGGGCCTGTCTCGCGGCGTGCCCCGGCGGGTGGTTTGCTGATGGCGGGGTGTGCGTCGAGTGCGACGCGGGCTGCCGCACGTGCGACGGCCCGGCCACATGCACCTCGTGCCCGGCCGGGCTGATGCTCCGGCCGGACGGCTCGTGCGGGACCGCCTGCCCGGCCGGCTGGGCCGGCTGCACCGGGGCCGGCCGGTGTGAGGCGTGTCCGGAACACTGCACCGCATGCGCGATCAGCGACGCGGACTGCGCGCCAGTGTGCACCGTCTGCACGGGCGGCCACTTCCTGTGGGACGGGGCCTGCCACCTTTCCTGCCCCGCCGGGCAGTTCGCCGACCCGGGGAGCGCCGCCTGCCGGGCCTGCGACAGCGACTGCCGGACATGCGCCGGGGCGGCGGATCGGTGCACGAGCTGCACCACCGGGGTGCTGCTGGTGTCGGAGGGGGCGTGCGTGTCCTCGTGCCCGGGCCCCTCGGCGCCGGCCCAGGGCATCTGCCTGGACTGTCCGGTGGGGTGCCTGCGGTGCGACGCGGGCGACGCGCCGGCCGAGTGCGAGGTCCAGCCCGGGGGGGCGTTGTCCTGCTCGGAGCTGCGCACCTGCGCCGAGTGTGCCGGCGGGCTGCTGCTGCTGGACGGGGCCTCGTGCGTGTCGGAGTGCCCGGCAGGGACCTTCGCCGACCATGAAGCCGCGCCGGCGTCGTGCGTCCCCTGTCACCCGAAGTGCAAGGTCTGCAGCGGCCCCGGTGCCGAGGACTGCGTGCGGTCGCCCAAGTCGGCATCCTCGCGCATCGGCCTCGCGGTCGGGCTGGGGGTCGGGCTGCTGGTGCTGCTGGTGCTGCTGATCCTGCTGGTGCTGTTCTGCGTCCGCCGGCGCGCCAAGGCCGGGCCCGGCGCCCCGAAGGAGCTGGACGCCGAGGACGCCACCATGCTGAACACCATCGTGGAGCTGGCCCTGCCCGGGGCCATCCTGGTCGGTGTCGACACGGACTTCCGGCCGCTGGACGAGCAGCTGGGCGCCGGCACGCAGGCGTCGGTGTATGCGGCGCAGGCGGTCGGGGCCGGGATCGGGGCCCGGCTGGGCTGCCCGGACGTGGTGGCCGTGAAGAAGATGCGGACCGAGGCCATGGCCCCGGTGCACCACGCCTTGTTCCAGAACGAGGTGGCCCTGATGTGGCTGCTCCGGGAACACGGCAACATCGTCCGGCTGTACGGGTACAGCGAGCAGCCGCCGGCCATCGTCATGGAGCGCTACCAGACGGACCTGGCCACGCTGCTGCACTCGGAGGTCCCGCTGTCAGAGCTGCAGCTGGCGGACATCGGCCAGCAGTGGGCCACCGGGCTGGAGGCCATGCACGCGCACGGCATCGCCCACTGCGACCTGAAGCCGGGCAATGTGTTTGCCAGCCAACGGCCGGATGGCTCCTGGCGCGCGGCCCTCGGCGACCTGGGCACCTCGCGCAATCTGAGCGCCGACCGGTCGTCGGTCCTCGTCAACACCATGCCCGAGCTGAATGCCATGACCGTGCGGTACGCCGCGCCGGAGGTGATCGCCGCCTTCCAGCGCGGGACTCCGCTGGACGCGGGACACTTCTTCCCGGCGGACATGTACGCCGCGGGCATCATGCTGCTGGAGTGCCTCACCCGGTCGACCCCCTGGCCCGGGATGGACCTGTCGGCCATCGTGGCCGCCGTGCAGGCCGGCCAGCGCCCTGACACCAGCACCTTCCCCGGCACCGGGCCCTTTGCCAATGCCGGGGACCTGGTCGCGGCGACCTGGCAGGCGGACCCGGCCCGGCGGCCCGACGCCGCGGTCCTGCGCCAGCGGTGCGCCACCTTCTTCATTGCCGCCGGCGGCCTCGGCCGGTCGTAGGGGGCCGCCGGGCGCGGCCGCGGGGCGACCCTCCGGCCGGCCTCGCCCCCGCGCCCAATAGATTGTTTCTTGTCAAGCCCCCTCCCGGTGACCTCCTCCCCTTGCACGCTGCCGCCAGCACCGCTGGCCCCCTTCCGGCTGGCTTCCCTCCGCGCTGGGACTGGCGCGCCCCATCAGATGGGGCGGAACCTGTTGTGAGGCACGGCGGGCCCGTCGCCGAGGCCTGCCCGGGCAATCGTCCTGTGTGCGTGTGTGTGCTTGGGGGGTGCGGATGCATGCGTGCCCGCGGCCACATCTACGAAGGTGAGCGGGCGAGGCTTGGCGGCGGGGCGTCGAGGCACGCGCACACACACACACACACACACACACACACACGTACGAGCGCGCGCGCCACGGCCGCCCGCGATTCCCCGGCGCGAGGGCAATCCTGAACGTTGGCACAAGGCGGCCCCCTGATAGTCACGGCAGGGCGCCGCGGGTCGATACGAGGGGCCGGCCCGGCGCATGACCCGGTCACATGAGCGGGTGCGCGCTCGGGGCACCACGGCCCCCCCCCCGCCGGCCTGCGCGCTGCTTTGTTGGGAATAATGCCTGACAAATTACATACGGGCTCAAACACCGAAGCCCAGGGGTGCCAATGGACGCCTGCCGCATCCATGTCGCGGGGCAGTGTGCGCCCGCGCGCGCGCGCGCGCACCCAGGCAGGGGGCCCACAAAGAGCGACCCCCAAGCGGCACCTCGGGCCCCGGGCAGCACAGGCAGCCAGATCCCCGAGCGGCGGCGTCCCCCACCCCCCACCCCTCCGCCGCACACACACGCACACACGCACACACGCACACACACACACACACGCACATACACCTCCCCCCGCGTCCCCGCCCCTCGCTCCGGACAGCCAGCATGGCCATGCGCGCGACGAGGCCCGGGCCGCCAGCTCGCCGGCGCTGGCCCGGTCCCGCCCACGCGTCCCCCGTGCCCTCGGCCCCCCCGGCGCCGCGGACACCGCTCGCCCCCGCTCTTGCCCTGCTGTCGCTGCTGTCGCTGCTGTCGCTGCTGCTGCTGCTGCTGCTGCTGCTGCTGCTGCTGCTCCCCGGATCGGTCTCCTCCTCCCTGCTCGAGGAGCAGCTCTACAAGCCTCTGCACCAGATGACCTTCCCCGGCGCCCCGGGGCACCGGTACACACCGGCCGGCCGGCGGACCATGGCCCTGCGCTGGTCCCAGACCAACACACTTGAGGTCTTCCGGCAGGAGATCTTCCCGAGCACCATGCCGGAGTTCCGGTGGGGCCCCTTCCTGGAGGTGACGCCCAGCGCGTGGGTCCCGTCGGTGCGTGGCAAGACCGGCCTCGGCCCGCTGAGCAGGCTGCTGGTGTTCCCGGTCCCCGACACCGACATGCCCGTGGTCGTGGAGTACGACACCATCGACATGGCCCTCCTCCAATCGGCCCACATCCACACCCTGCCCTGGACCGGGCACCAGATGGAGCTTCTCGCCGGCCGCGGGGTCGACCTCGACACCGTCCTCTTCCTGGTGTCCCAGAGGCTGGGCGACAACACACGCGAGGTCAGCCTCATGGTCCTGGCCGCCTCGGAGACCAGCCTGCCCCTGGAGCTGCTCCTCAAGGTGCCGGCCAATGATCCCGCGGGGTTGCACGCCGCTCCCGGCCCGGGAACATCGCTGCTCCTGCTCGCCGGGGATATCCTGTACCAGGTGTCCCTCACTGCCTCTTGGGATGTGGAGTACATGATGGCTCCCCTGGGCATTGCCAACATCCTCGGCATGCATGTCTCGCGGCTGCTGCCGAGTGAGGGTGCTGCGTGTGCCTCCGGCGACCTGGTCCTCCTGCTGGCCGACCGCACCATCCGGGTGTTTCCCTGCTTCGCGGTGGACTCGCCGCTGCCGGGCTCCGTGGATGGGGCCCTGCCGCCGGGGGCCCTGACCCCCGGGCGCTTCCTCAATCCCACGCTGGACTCCATCACCCAGCCGGTCCCCTTCCTGTACTACTTGGACTCCGGCACCCCGCAGTCCGGGGGCCTGGTCCTGTGGCGCGCGCACATCACGCCATCTGCCTCGCAGAAGTTCACCTGGTCTCGCCTACAGACCCTCCACTCGCCCTTCGACCCGCAGGTGGACCTTGTGCGCATGCGGCTTGCCGCCTCCGGCGGCGGCGGCGGCGGCGCCGCCGACGACGACGCCCATGACCGCTGGCTTCCGCTGGTCGAAGATTTTGTCCTCTTCGACTCGGAGCAATTTGGCTGCGGCACCGACGACAGCATTATTTGCTCCGGCCCCGGCCTCGACCTGGGCCCGAATGTGCAAAGCGAATGTGCCCCGTCCCGGTCGATCAGCATGCTGGTCCCATCCGAGCGCCTATGCGCCGGCTGCGCTCCTGGCTACTCGATGAGCTGGTCGGATCGTGCGTCTTCCGATGGCCCCCTGGCCTGTGGTGTCCTTCACCTGTGTCTTTCTCTCTTGTCCCCTCTCTGCTTCGTCCTCGTCCCCTCGTGTCTCTCTCTCTCTCTCTCCCTTATCCTCTCCCTTATCCCCTCTCGGCCCCTCGCCCCCCCCCTCCCCCGCATCTTCTGCGCTGCATTCGCTGACCCATTCCGCTCTCTGTCCCCGTCGGCACACCCCCCCCCCCCTGCGTATGGGCTTGTGCGGCTGCCGGCATGCCGGTCCTGTGGCTGGCGCGGCGTAGCCACCTTGCCCTGTCGACTCTGCCCTGGCCACTGCGGCGCTTGCGACGAGTCGGGCTGCCTCATCTGCCTCGCAAATTGGATGCTGGAGCCGAGCGGCCCGGCCGGGCAGGCCGTCTGCGTGTCCAGCTGCTCGGCCGGCTTCGAGGCCGTGGCCAACACCTGCCAGCCGATCAGCCACCCGGGGCCGGATGTGTCGCTGGCCTTCGACCGGCCGGTGGTGTCGTCGCCCGGCATCAACGCCGGGACATTCGTCCTGGACACGCATCTGGCCCTGGGCCCGATGGGCGAGCTGACCATCCCGGCCGCGGCCCTGGCCAACCCGGCCGGGCCCCGGGCTGGGAGTCTCTTTTTCATGGACAACGGCCATGTGTGGCTGGCGCCCAGCCGGGGCATCAGCTCCTCCGGCTTGCCGGGGCTGCTGCTGGAGCTGGTGCCCCCCCTGTCGGGCTTCGCCACGGGCCCGGTCCATGGCGCGGTGGAGCTGGGGCCCTATCTCGAGGATGGCCGGGCCGTCACGATGCTCGTCCTTTGCCATGGCGCCGGGCAGGGGATCTTCCTGTCGGTCTCCTGCCCGACCACCATCCTCGGGCCCGGGTGCTCGGTCGGGCTCCCGACGGCCATCCAGTCCGGGGGGGCCGCCTGCCAGGGCGTCCGGCGCCTTGACCCTGGCCATGCGATTCTCTCGCTCGATGCGTCGCACTCGGCGCTCCTCACCTGGCGCCACGCCCGGTGGCTGGATAGTCGCCTGGTGGCCGGCAGCCGCTTTGCCCTGCTGCCGGGCTGGCCGTCGGCCGGCGCCCAGCCCCCCGACCCGTGGCTCATGTACATCGACCAGGCGAACAGGCTCACGGTCCTGCCGCTGGCCCTGCCGGAATCGGACCCCCGCATTCACATGCTGACCGGGGTGGCCCTGCCGACGGGTCTCCCCTCGCCGGCCGAGCTGCTTGCCCTGCCGGCCGGCGCCGGCCGGCTGGAGCCGGTGCTTTCCCTCCTCCATGAGGGCCTCTGGGTGGTGCACCTGCTGACCAAGGGCCTGGCGGGGGCCGGCCGTAATGTCGGCATGCTGACCACCAAGCAAACCCTCGGGGCCCTGCCCTCGCCACCGGACATGGGCTTCTCCTCGGTGACCTTCCAGGCCATCGACCTTTCCCCCGGGAGTGGCGAGCACCCGAGCGCCCTGGTGCTGCTGAGCGAGAAGTATGTGGGGCTGGCGGTGCTCCGGTGCCCCGGGTCCGGGCCCGGGCCGTGTGTCTTCCTGCCGGGCCGCTTTTACCAGCAGTCCCGGGCGCTGCCGCTGCTCGGCCGCCGGGGCGTCATCGCCCGGCCGGGGGGGCCGCTCGTCACCGATGCGCCCGGGCACCTGGCCACCCTGCTGGCCCTGGCCACCGGCTCGGACCCGGGCCTGGTGCTCACCTTCACGGCCGACTGCCCGAGCGGCACCTTCGGCCCCGAGTGCACCGCCTGCCATCCCACCTGCCAGCGCTGCGGCGGCCCGGGGCCCGACCACTGCCTGGACTGCGAGTTCTGGCTGCCCGGGGCGCCGGGCACATGTCTGCCCGACTGCCCGGGCGGCGTCCCGCCCGGGCCCAGCGGCCAGTGCCCCTGCCCGGAGCACTGCACCACATGCGATGTCCAGTCGCCGGCTCCCCAGTGCTTGGCCTGTGCCCGGGGCTTTGCGCTGGACCCTGCCGGCGTGAGCCCGGGCCGGTGCGTCGCCTGCCACGCCAGCTGCGCCGAGTGCGCGCTCCCCGGCGACTCGGACGCCTGCACCAGCTGCCCGCCCGAGGCCGAGTGGCTCCTGGACGGGACGTGCGTGGCCGCCTGCCCGGCTGGCACCTGGCCCGATGCCCCCACGCGCGCGTGTCATCACTGCCCGGCCAGCTGCGCCACCTGCCAGTCGGCGAGTGCGTGCGCCACCTGCCCCGGCCAGCACTACCTCGGCCCGGACAGCCTGTGCCACGCGTGCAGCGGGTCGTGTGCCGCGTGCGACGGCAAGGCCTCCTGCGGGGCGTGCAAGCCCGGCCTGGTGTTCCTGTCGGCCGATCCGCAGCAGGCGTCCCTCTGCGGCAGCACCTGCGCCCCGGGCGA